AGAACTTTTTGAAAAAGATTTTTAAAAATATCTAGATGATATGAATATTTAGTTCAGAGTGTTGTCATTAATTTTTATCATAGCAAAGGCTGCTCATGTAACTTTTACATTTCGCAATTTATTCTGATATTTTTTGTGACCTAATACATCTTCAATTGGTGGTAATGTCCCGTGGATGCTCTGGATGGTATGGTCTCTGTAAGTTACCATATTTACTATCTATTGCCTGAGTCAAACTGAGTTTTTTTAACTTCTCTGTCCTTTTCTATTGTTCTGTTTTCTTTCTCCCTGATTAGTAGGATGCTAAAGTCTCCACCTTCTGTTTATTTCCTTTATTATTTAAAATGTTTTTACTATATATAATGGCATATCAAAGTTTATAACTTAATCTCTTAGTATAAAGTACAGGAGTATAAAAGATAAAGAGTATACCTTTCATCACTCTAAAATGATTATCTTTGACATATGACTTCATCTAGTCATTTATTTCTGTTAAATCTTTTTTTCTCTTTTTTTACATTTAGGAGTCCTTTATAACTAACAAATAATAGGATATTTATTTATCTATTTTACCTAATACAAACTAGCTGTCCTTGCTTTTTTTTAAGTGAGAGCTTAATCCACGTATATTATTGTTATTATAACCAATATGCTTAGTTATATGCTTTTGCTTTCTTGCTGTTTCCCTTATTTTCTCTCCATTTCTTTATTAATTATGGTATTGATCCTTTTATCTTTCATAATGATTTGGAAGACAAACATTTTTAATATCTAAATTTGCTAATGGTTAACTTTTAAGATTTTCAAATCCTTACTTAAAATTCTTTCTCTGTTGAAGACAATAACAAGATAACTTCTGATTCTATGATCCCCAAGAAATTTCGCATAAATTCTTTGCCCTGCCCTAGTTTCCAGAATTTAATTTTTAACTTTTTGGCACAACTTGTTTTGTACATTTAAAAATACAATATATTATTCATTTCTGAAGAAAATGTTTTTTCTATTCAGCTTTGTTATTTTCTGTATAGTAGTTATTTCCTGTTAGCTCATTTTGATGTGTCAGCTTTTTCATAAAGTTTTTTAGTTTGGTTCTGTGCCTCTCATCTGAACTACCTTTTAAAGCCTAAAGGGATAAATTAGTAGAAATGTCACCCAACCTATGAAACTTTCCCCATTTGGGGACATTTTGAAAAAACAAAACAACATTTTTACAAGATTAAATACTTGCTACTTTGATGCAAGTGAAGGTGTATTACAAAATTTTGTTGAATAAAAGAAGATTCTGTACTTACTGACACATTTTTCAAGCATTGTGTAGAATTCATTTAGATTCCTATAGGAAAACTCAGCAATCTGAGATAGAATTTATGCTGCTTTTACAACCAAAACTGTGGTAGGAGATTACTTTTGGATGCTCTACTATATTGCAGTGCATAATTCACATCCTTCCTCTTGAGTTCCAGGCATAGATATCTTCTCTACACACTTTATCTTTCTATGAATTTTGTTTGAAGGGTTAATGACACCTGCTGAGCGTCTAGCATCTTGTCAGAATTCTCCATAATCAAGCTGAAAAGAATGGCACAGTCTGGCTCACAAATCTTGGCAGATGTGCACAGAATTGCTTTACCTTGACTCAATCCAGGTTAATGGGACTTTGTTATATTTTCATTAGCAATGTGAGAAAACTGTGGATCTCTGTTTTCCTAATTAGTGGTTAGTAACAGTTAACTCTATGATGAGATCACAGTTTCAGAGTTTGGAGAATATATTATTGACAATGAGATTTAATGAAAAACAACTGGCTTCTTACTTTTTATAAAAGTTGTTAATCTTATTTATTTCTTTTTGAGGAAGATTAGCCCTGAGCTAACATCTGCCGCCAATCATCTGCTTTTTGCTGAGGAAGACTGGCCCTGAGCTAACCTCCCTGCCCATCTTCCTCTACTTTATATGTGGGACGGCTTCCACAGCATGGCTTGACAAGCAATGCATAGATTTGTACCTGGTATCCGAACGGGTGAACCCTGGGTCGCCCAAGCGGAACGTGTAAACTTAACCACTGCACTACTGGGCCAGCCCAATGTGAATCTTATTGATAGATGTGCTGCCACTCTTGACACATACTAGCTTCCTTTAATTTTGTCTGTTTTGTTCTAATTCTGCTGCCTAAACTATATAATATTCTAATGGGAAGAAACTTCTGGAACTGGAGAGTCCATTACAGTAATTTTTAAATAAATGAGGTCCTGAATTATCTCAAGCCTGATAGTAAGAAATCTGATTGCATCAGTTATAGCAAAGCTTTCTTATAGGAGAGCTACCGTGGATGCTAGGAGAAATCAATGCAAGCAGATCGATTTTTCTTGGGTCTTTAAATGTTTGAGCCAGCACCTGGCCTTTGTAATGTCTCTTGGTTGTAGGTAATAGCTGGGAATTTCAGGTGAAGGATTATAACCTCTGAGTTAGTTATGCTACCCCAAATGATCCATTGGACATGGCGGAAAATGCCAGTTTTAAATGTATTCATGGGATTAGGAATGAATACTTCTTTGCCTGAAATCTTGTGGTTTAGCTTTAGTACTTACTGTAGTCAGTCCATTTCTTTGAAATATTGAGCTTTCTGACAGCTTAAAATCCTAAGTTTCCTTTAAACTTGATCCTGGCTTTGGAGGAGAAAGGGATAGTGTGGGGGTAGATTTTATGTAAGGTTCTCTGAAGAGAATTCACTGAAGTGCTTTTGCTGGCAGGGCACAGGGAAGGCCAGCAAGCTGCTTCCTCTTGGTTTTTCTTAGGTTTTGCCCTTAGCCTAGATCAACATTTAGTCAGATAATTTATGCCAGGGCCACTGGCATCTCTTGTTGGGGCTTGTTGAAGTCATCATTTTCCTTCCATGAAGAAACATGGAAGAGACCCAAATGCAAAGTCTAGATTTTATTAAGCCAGTTGGATATTAAGAAAAGTCTTCACGCCTTTATACCCTTAATTCTCTGCTGGATGTTTCTCACCCTAAGTTGGAGGACTGAGCTTTTATATACATCTCTTGATCAAATATTACCTAATAAGATTTCTTTCCTTGTGAATACAGTCAGGTACCACAAATGTATTAAAAATATATTCTATGGAGAATACTGATATGCTGCAGAATCGTTAATTCTAGGTTAAATGTAAACACATCAGTGGGCACTAAGAATTAAAATGAAGAGAGCAGTGGGCAGTAGAGACAAGGGTTTAGTCCGAGACCTCCTGCCTGATTCTGAGCACATAATTTGCTCTCTCTCTTCATCCATCCATTGGAGGTAGCTTCGTCTACCTTTACCTAACTCAGAGATCCAGTGGGATAAGAGTTCTGACATTGCTTATGAATTAGAGGGCCCACTCCACATACAGGTTTCATCATCAGTACAAATGTATTTAACAGTAGGATATTTTAAACTTGAAAATATATCATAATTATCAAGGGCATTTAATGAGGAATGATATGCTAGTTAAACTTTGAAAGCATATGTTAAAAAATAAATATAGAAATAAAGAGCTCTTCAAAGACCATAGTGGAAGAGATAATATCTGAGTTTAAAAAAGTCTTGTCCTGAGAAGCACAGAGAAGGTAAGGCTGAGCATTTGAGACAGAGGAAATCTAGTGTGAAAAAGCACAGAGCAGGAGTGGACATGACATGTTCAGGAAGTTGAGAGAAAGTGATGTTCACTTTAGATTAAATCCTCCTTTATTATAAGTATAAAAGTTAAAACTTGAAGAGAATGACAATATTCTGAACTTTTATTCCATAGTAATAAGAAAAGGCTCATACAGCTTGTATCTGAATTAATTTAGAATTAGCAGGTTAGCAGTAATTTAGGAGAAAACTAAATACTTAAGGGCTTTGGAGGAGACAAAGTAAAATTAGCATCATTTTTCTGGGTTCCATTAGAGAAGTCTGTGTCCATATGTGTGTGACTCATATCCTCATATGGACTGATGGTTTCAATTGTGTGTTTGTTCTCCCCGTCCCCCCTACCCCAAAACTCCCCAGTGCATGGTTGTATATCCTAGTTGTAGGTCCTTCTAGTTCTTCTGTGAGCCGCCACCACAGCATGGCAACTGACAGATGGGTGGTGTGGTTCCATGACTGGGAAGTGAACCTGGGCCACCGAAATGCTGAGAACGCTGAACTTTGACCACTAGACCATCAGGGGTGTCTCTGTGTTTGTTCATTTTTAATGGAAAATCAGAGCTAGGTAAATGTGTAGAACTTCCTGAATGTGAAAATCAGAGTTGGGTAGTTGTATGAAAACTGCTAAAATGTAAGCTTCGTAGGATCAGAGACTTTCTTTTTTATTTATTTATTTTTGGGGGGTTTAACTGTTACTACCAGGCCCAAATGTGGCACTTAATACATATTTGTGGAATGAGTGCTGGCTTAATTTACTTAAGCTGTAGGTCTTGGTTTGGTACTTTAAATATCTGGCAGAGATCTCCAGAATGTTGTCTCAGAAAACAGGATCATTAAGTGTCTTCCCAGAGGTTAAAGCATAAAATGTAGCGTCTCCTCATTTTTCTCCTAGGAGGGGAAAACTTTATTTCTTGTTCTGTTTTTTTTGTTTCTTTTTTTCAGAAGAGGACAGAAGAAATAAGGTGGGAAATCCTAGTTGGTGTAATCTGTCTTTAGCTTATTCAGTGTTTTTGGTCTTTTTATTAGTCACAAAAAATCACAATGGAACAGAGGAGTAATCTGAGGGAAGATTACTTTCCAAGATCCATGGACCTTTGTTAGACTTTTCAAGTGTTTATTTAAGCCTTGCTAAGTCTTTTATCTATATTGACATTGTCATGTTTCTTTCTATCACAGCTTGCCTGGCACTATTCAGAAACTGAGAAGAATGTTAAAGATCAGGACCTTAAATAGTTCACTTTTGACAAAGAATAAAGAACAGGAGTGAAGAAACACTTGTGTGAGGAGACCACTGACTCTTTTCTTTTTTCTCTTTTCTTTTGCCTTTAGCTCAAGCCAGGGCAGAACAGCTGCAGGGACAGTGACAGTGAAAGCGCCAGTGGAGAATCCAAGGGCTTCCACAGGAGCAGCTCTCGGGAAAGGCTCAGCGATGTAAGTTTAAAAAAAAGGAAAAATCTAACAAAACCACAAGACCACATATCCTTTGGGCAAGTCTCAATTCCCCAACACTCCCATCCTTTCACATCACTTTGTATATCCAGGCATGTTGTTCTATTTTCTAGTTTGATCTAAAATGTGTTTTAACAAATAATAAGGTAGATGGGAATATTTGTCACCTTAGGAACAACAGATTACAAAGGGAAGTGATAATACTATTAATGTTAGTGTTACCAATGAAAGAAATAGTCAGGCAGTGCTACAGCTGGGAGACCACGTCATTTAACCATGGGCTTTTTGTGATTTCTTCACCTATGAGGTTGATAACAATCTCTTTGTGCCGTTTTATTCCTGTTGGAAGAGATGACTAACCAGCCACTTACTTGGCAAGAGAAGGATTTAATTTCCTGACTGATTTCTGGGGGAGAAGCCATTGTGAGAACACACCATACCTCTTGTGGGGTCTGTCAGCCCTCCAGACCTGGCTTTTGCTTCTCTTCGGCTTCCTATCCACCAACAGGCCAGTTCTCCCTTTGCCACTTCTGAGAACCACCTGGCCCTCCTTGGATGCTCCTGACTTCTTCCCTAATGTGTCATGTAACAGGATTCTTGACCCATCTTTGCCTGTGAGAACAACACTTGGAAACTTTCTTGTATAATAGATCAAGTAGGGAGAAATTTTTACTATTGATACCAACAAAGGAACATTAGCAGATTAAGTGAGCCAGTACTCTGAAGAAAGAGACAGAAATTCAGTCTCTGAGTTTCAAGAAGAAGAAGCAGAGTTAGGATGTATAGTAAGTTGCAAAAACCGTCACCTCTGGTCGTCTTCTTTTTTTATACTCTAAAGCAGTTGTCTTCATTATGGTGTACAGGATGATCCAGTGTGTTACTGGAAGAAAATATTAGTAGTTAATTGTTTTTTGTCTAAAAAAAGAGAAGTTATACTTTACTAATGTTCAATTTAATAAGCAGTGAGTAGTTCATGTGTATAATTTATAAACATACGTATCTTAGGAGTGTGCTCAAAACTTTTTTTTTTTCCTTCTTCTTCTCCCCAAAGCACCATAGTACGTGGTTGTATATTCTAGTGTGAGTGCCTCTGGTTGTGCTATGTGGGACGCCGCCTCAGCATGGCCTGATGAGCGGTGCCATGTCTGCGCCCGGGATCCGAATCAGCGAAACCCTGGGCCGCCGAAGCGGAGCGCACGAACTTAACCACTTGGCCCCGGGGCCAGCCCCTGCTCAAAACTTTTTTACTAAGAAGTGTTCATAAGCATAAAAGGTTAGAGACTACTGCAGCACATTGAGTCATTCCCTATCATCTCCCATTCATTTTTCCATCAGCCAACATGTACAGCCCCAAAACACAGCCATCTTTCTATATCTCTCAAGAAAATTTGTATGATTTAGGGTCAGATTTGATGTATGGGTGAGTTCTTACAAGAATTAAGTGGGACAAACAAAGCATAATTATTTCTATGGTACTGTTAATCTCTTAGTTATAGATAATCGCCTCCCCTTCTTCAGTATAATATCAATTATATGAAGACTACTAACTCAGTCTTTTGCTGTGAGAATGAGTATGTCTGTGTATAAGAACATTTCTTTGTGTGTTTATATGTTTCATTAATTTTGTGATGGAGCTATATATTATAATAATAAACTTATAACAATATTTTTTACTTAAGTTGTTAGCAACAATACTTAATACTTAAATAGCTGTTCTTCTGAGATATTGTTTTTCTTTTAGTATGAAATCTTATTGGCCCTGGAAATGAAAGTTAGTTAATCATAATTTTATTAGAGAGTGGCAATATGAAAGGCACATTAGGCCAAGGGACAAAAGCACAGTATTGTACAGTCATTGAGATCTTTTGACTGGTTGCCCTTTTCACAAGATCACTTTTCATTAGATCAAAGGAAACTGGCAAAAGATATCCTGTGTTCATGGATGGGAAGATTCAATGTTATTAAGATGTCAGTATTACCCAAAGCAATTTACAGATTCAGTGCAATTCCTATGAAAATTCCAACAATCTTTTTTGCAGAAATAGAAAAGGAGATACTCAAGTTCATATGGAATGGCATGAGGCCTCTAGTAGAAAACACAATATTGAAAAAGAAGAACAAGGTTGGGAGCCTCACAATTCCCAATTTCAAAACTTACTACAAAAGCTACAGTGATCAAAACAGTATGGTATGGAGCCATCCCTGTGGCTAGTGGTTAAAGGTTGGTGCACTCTGCTTCAGTGGCCCAGGTCCGGTTCCCAGACACAGAACCACACCACTTGTCTGTTGGTTGCCATGCTGTGGCAGTGGCTCACATAGAAGAACTAGAAGGACTTACAACTAAAATGTGCAACTGTGTACTTGGCTTTGGGGAGAACAAAAAGAAAAGAGGAAGATTGGCAACAGATATTAGCTCAAAGTGAATCTTTCCCAGAAAAACAAAAACAAAAACAAGAAACACCAATATGGTACTGGCATCAGGACAGACATACAGACCAATGGAATAGAATTGAAAGTCCAGAAATAAACTCATGCATCTATGGCCAACTGATTTTTAAGATGAGTGCCAAGTCCATTCAAGTGGTAAAGAATTTTCATCAGATAGATGGTGCTGGACAACTGGATTTCCCCATGAAAAAAATGGAGTTGGACCCCTATATCACAACAAATACAAAAATTAACTTAAAATGAATCAGTGACCTAAATATAAGAGCTAAACTGTAGAACTCTTAGAAGAAAACATATGGGTAAATCTTCATGACGTTGAATTTGGCAGTGGATTCCTAGACAGGACGCCAAAATCATGAGCAGCAAAAAAGAAAATAGGTAAATTGGACTTCATCAAAATTAAAAACTTGTGCATCAAAGGGCATTATCTAGAAAGTGAAAATAAAACCTGCAGATTAGGAGAAAATATTTGCAAATCATGTAACTGACAAGTGTTTAATATCCAGAATATTTAAAAAACTCCTAGAACTCAACAACAAAGACAAACAACCCAATTCAAAAATGGGCAAAGGACTTGTGCAAAGAAGATATACAAATGGTCAGTAAGCACATGAAGGATGCTCATCATCATTAGTCATTAGGGAAATGCAAATCAAAGCCATAGGAGATATCACTTTACATCTACTAGGATAGTTATAATAAGAACAAAAGGAAAATAACAAGTGTTAACAAGGATATGGAGAAATTGGAACCCTCCTATGTATGTCGGTAAGAATGTAAAATGGTACAGCCACTGTGGAAAATATCTTGGCAGTTCCTCAAAAAGCTAAATATGGTATTACTATATGTCCCACCAATTCCACTTTTAGGGATATACCCAAACAAATTGAAAACAGGTACTCAGATACTTATACACTTAGGTTCATAGTAGCGTTATTTACAATAACCAAAAGGTGGAAAAAACCCAAGTGTCCATCAACAGATGCATGGATAAACGAAAAGTGGCATATATGGACAATAGAATATTATTCAGCCATAAAAAGGAATGAAGTTCGGGGCTGGCCCCGTGGCCGGGTGGTTAAGTTCGCGCGCTCCGCTGCAGGCGGCCCAGTGTTTCGTTAGTTCGAATCCTGGGCGCGGACATGGCACTGCTCATCAGACCACGCTGAGGCAGCGTCCCACATGCCACAACTAGAAGAACCCACAACGAAGAATACACAACTATGTACCGGGGGGCTTTGGGGAGAAAAAGGAAAAAATAAAATCTTTAAAAAAAAAAAGGAATGAAGTTCTCATACATGTTACAACATGGATGAACCTTGAAAATATTATGCTAGGTGAAAGAAGCTAGACATAAAAAGACAAGTATTGTATGTTTCCACTTACATGAGGTATCTAGAATATGCAAATTCCTAGAGACAGAAAGTAGAACAGGAGTTATTAGGGACCAGTGGTGGGGTGGGGAGTTATTGCTTAATGGTGACAGAGTTTCTCTTTGGAGTAATGAAATAGTTTTGCACAATATTGTGAATATAATTAATACCACTGAATTGTACACTTAAAAATGGTTAAAATGTCAAACTTTATGTTATAGATATATTTTATCACAATAAAAATAATGTAAAAAAATTAGGGCTATAACAATCCTGCCAGTCTTATGTCAAGCTAGTCTATGAAATACTTTGAGTTCACGCAGCCTTTTAATTGACTAAAATTCATACTTTTTGCTACAACATTATTAAAAGATCAAGGAAAAAGTAGAAATGACCAAAAAAAATAAAAAAGAGAAAGAAGCATTAGTTGGCGTTTAGTGAGACGTGAGCAAACCTCCAGCAACTGCTTTCCTTGACACCAGCATTCTGAGGCTGCAGTCTTCCCTCAGAGCTCTTGTAGTCTAACATCTGCTGAGATGAAGCCTTTCGACAAGTCAAGCCACAGAATGATTCTTTTGGATACGAGGGCATCACCTACCCACACAGTATTTTAAAGAATGAAGATGCCCCCATTTCTTTCAAAGGGAATTAGTGACTGTCAGAGAAGGAGGACATGGAGTCAAAGACCACCAGTGGTTTGTTTTTTAGAATATTTCCCATGTCTCTCCTTACCATGCTTGTGCTTTCATTTACTTCCTTGATCATATGGAAAATACTTTTTTATAACTATTTTAATGCTCTTATCTATTGATTGTGTCATGTATGTCATTTCTGAGTCTGTTTCTATTAGTTGCTTTTTCTCCCCATACGGATTGTATTTCCCAGCTTCTTTGCATGCCTGACAATGTTTTTTTGAATGCCAAACATTCAAATTTTTCGTTGAAAATTCACATTCGTGAATTTTTCGTTGTTGGGTGCTGGATATTTCTGGTTTCTATAAATATTCGTGAGTTTTATTCTGAGATGCAGTTACATCACTTGAAAATAGTTGATTTTTCTGAGGTTTGCTTTCACGCTTTCCTGAGTGGAACCAGAACAGCCTTTAGTCTAGAGCTAATTTTTCCCCTGTACTGAATACTCTGCCTAATTCCTGATGTATTA